CACACACACACACACACACACACACACACACACACACACCACCCCCAAGAAATACAAATTAGAACAGAAAGCTGTATTTTACTTACCAAATTGGCAGAACATTTTTTTAGATGGAAACAACTTAATCATCCATTATTTAACTGTATGGTCACTTATACTGGAATTCCAGGATGTCGTTAACAGTAATAGCATAAGGAATGTTCACACTATATGGAAATGGGGGGAAAAAACCTGTTACAAAATAACAAACAAAACCATCCTAATTTTGAAAACACAATTCTATATGGATATAGATATACAAATAAAGGAACGATGTTGAGCAAAACATTATCATTGGTTAGTTCTGGGTTGTGGGATTATAAGAAAATTTTCTTTTATTCTTCATATATTTCTATTATCTCCATTATGTGATAAACATGTATCCCTTTTCCAATCAGGAAAAAATTAAACTATGCTACAAAGTGTGACAATAAATTGGAAGAATGATTATTCAATATCCCTTCAAAGTTATAACACAATTTAGCGAGCTCTAGAACTCGGTACTACTTGAGATTTGAGGGTTTTCTTCGCGCAGCCATCACCCTAAAGTAGAAGAAGAGGAAAAGGGAGATGCAAAAATGAAACTAGAAAACATACTCCAGCCAATCAAAGAACCTCCATTTGCTTCTGATTTGTGATTATGTTAAATGACATGTAAACATTGTTCTTATTCACTTTGTTGAGTAAACACAAATATTGTGGGTTTGTTTGTTTAAGTAATACACGGGGAGGGGGGTGCTCTCACTACAAAGTGTATGTTTTGGAATAAACCTTCAGCCTAGAATGTGAAGATTTTGTTTGGCACAAGGCAAGGGTGAACAAAACAGTAACTTAAAATGGTCCCATAACACCCCCTGGTGGCTTCCACTGTATCAGATTGGGAAACAGCCCAACCAGCCAAGAGGAGAGAGCAATACACACTGTTCTTTATAAATTCAACAAACGTTTGTAGGTTCCCTATTCTGTGCCAAGAACTAACTATACTAGGATGAAATGCTGCTAAATCTCTTCGTACTTTTTATCAGGCCATGCCAGCATTCGTTTATTTGGGCTGAGCACACACACAAAAGTTATGAGTTCATAAAAGTTGAGCCTCACAAATCAGTGTTTCCTTTCAAATATGGCTATACATCTCCTGGGAGATAGTTGAGGAGCTCGGAGGAGGGTCTGTGATTATTACAGACCTTAGCATGTGGTAATCAGAAAAAGACAGTGGACGTGGATAAAAAGACACGGATCACAGCCCTGGCTATCCGAGTGACCTTGGGCACGAGATAATCCACATGGGAATCATTCGTCCATTTAACCATCACTCGAACCCGGTGCTGCGGCTACAAAAATGAGTAAAACCTAGTCTCTAGCCCCTCACTAACTCCCTTTTCTAATCTGTAAATTGGGACTAACAACCTCCTCAATTCGTTGTCGAAAAGATTAAACATAAGACCACTCTTGAATTTTTATGTTTGAAACCGTGTCCACAATTTTGTTTATGCTTATTTATAAAGTTAATCCTCTCTACATCTGCTCATAGAAACTCAAGGTCGGAAAAGGAATTAAATCACCTAATCCAATCCCATATAATTTCACATTAACTCCACCAAGATTTCGTGAGTCAGGGTACGCAGCTGAAACCTACAACGATAATGACTCACGATCTTCAAGAGCTTCGCCCTCCTGCCCCGTGGACCGCATCCCAGCCCTGTGTGGCTCTTTGGCAAACGTCAGTACAACCGTGACGCGGTCGTTGCCCTTTTCGTTCTCAGCAGGCTGCTGCCCTCGCTAAGGTTTGAAATGCCAAACGCCCGGCCCACTCCTGCAAGACCGTTCTCGCACGTCCCCTGAAGAAGCGGGGTGGGAAAGCAGCCAGTGGCGCGCAGCGCTTCTCCCACTTCGGGGGCGGGAGGACGGCCTGGGAGCGGGCGGGGTAGGTTCCCTCCGCGGCCCCGCCTGGAGCGGTTCTAGGCCTGGAATCGCCCGCTTGTGGCGGAAGGAGCGTTACCCCACGCCGAAGGGGCCTGCGGCGGCGCAGAGGTGCCGGCAGGGGGCGCGGGCCGCCGGACCACCCCTCGGGCTAGAGGCCGGTGGTCCCTCCCAGGCCGGGTGTGCGACTAGGCCTCGCTGCCAGGTCTCCTGCCCCCACTCTCACCTCGTCACCTCCCCGCCCCCCAGCGGGACCCTGAGGTGCGCGGCGCAGGCGCAGAGCGAGGCGGTGAGTGCGGCGGCGGAGCCTGGGCCTGGGGCCTGGCGGGCAAGGCGTGGGGCGCGCGGAAGGCAGAGGGGCCCGCCCGGCTGAGCGCCCGGGANAAAAAAAAAAATGCTTGTTAAATGAATAAATAACTGAATTTATGTTCACTAATGGAATATAGATTTTAACAGATTCTGTTCTTTAGCCTCAGACCCTAGATGAAGGAAATGTATAGTCATAAACTTAGCCCTTATATCAGTCAGTGATTATTGAAGAATTAGTGATTATTCAATAAAAAACAATCCCAAAGCTTATCAACTTAACACAACAAAGGTGTGTTTCTTGCTGTGTCATGTCTACGATGGGTGTTGATAGCTTTCCAGACAGAGGAAGGGAGAACTAGAGAAGCAAACACTGGAAATGAAATGCTTCCACTAGAAGTAACACATAATACTTCTACTGACGGACATTTCAATGGCTAAAGCAAGTCATAGGGCTCTACCTAACTTCAAACGGGACAGGGAGCGTAATCTCTTGTAGATTTCTTGTAGATTACACTGCAGGAAGAAAACACATGAAATTGGATATTGTTGAGCAGTATTTATGCCTACCACAGCCCTAAACAATCAGTGAGTTTTATTCCTAGGGATAACAAATATACTTATTTACCGGGGTAATGCTTCATTTTTATCATCTATTAATGTCAATCTCCTTTAACATGGTTCAGCCTTCAGATCTTCACAGGTATGCATGTCCAAGTTTAAATCTATCAAATGGATACAACACTTGACCATTTCCAGATGCTATAAATAAAGTCAGTACTCTAGAAAATGAAAAACGCCATACAGACACTGTAGAAGGTATTCTTATTAATATTCCAATAAAGAAGTCTAGTCAGATTGTATTCATTCATTCATTTGTTCATTCAGTTAAAGAAAAAAAGACTAACTAGCAAATGAAAATTGAGTACTGAGTGAAAAAGTTTAACAGCTTCCCAGAGAATTTCATCCAATATAGAGTGTAGGTAGGCTCTCAGAGGTAAGATTCAGGGAAGGAGAAATGGAGTCAGTCTTTTAAAGCTAAAAGGCTGTTTCTGTCCTATTTTAAGAAAGCAAAATGTCTCATTAGGTTGACTGACTGGCTAGATCTGCGCTTGCTGGTTTTGAAAGCACTGGGCTGGCTGCTTGGAGGACCTCTGCTGTGATAGGAGGCTTAGAATTATGGAGTCCAGGTGTCTCTGTTGGGGATGAGAGGTCCCTGATGCGAGACTGTGGCATGTAGATGCCTCATGTCTGAGTCAATGTAGATGCCTCATGTCTGAGTCAATGTAGATGCCTCATGTCTGAGTCAGGAGTCCATAATTCAGTCAGGTCTGTAATAGTGTCAGCAGGCTAGGTGGTTAGGAAAGAGTTTATCAATTCATTTAAAAGTTTAATACCATTTTTATTGCCCCATCCTCTTTAAACCAAGCTAGGCCACCTGTCACGTGCTTCCATAACACTCTTTACTTACCTTATAAAAGTTTAGTTGTCACATGCTAGCACTATTTATTGCCTACTGTAATGACCAACAGAGCAAGGACCATGTTGCTCTTGCTTACACTATGTCCCCAGTACCTAGTACACTGCCAGATACAAAGTAGACATGCAATAAATATTTTACTTAAAAAATGAATGAGGCGCTAAGCAAGACACTGTGCTAAGCAGAGAGATGAAGCAGATTGGAATATAATAAAACCAGAATTCAAAGATGGTGGAGAGACAATACAGGGGTGGAGCCAAATATTGTAAGGACAGAAGTTTATACAAATTGAGAGGACCAATTTTAAAAAAAGAATATAAAATTATAAATACAAAATTAACTGCCTCATCTTGGAAGAGGTTCATGCAATTGAAGGTAGTTGAAACTTAAGCTTCATTATCTTCATAGTAAATACATCTCTGGTCAGAAGTGGACTTAATGTACCAAATACTGTGAAATCTCTGAAGAGTGATTAGAGATCTCAGCTAGGGAAAATGAAAGATATCCTAGAAGAGATAAATTAGGAGCTTGATCTTACAGAAAGAAACTAAGGAAAGGGATTGCAGGTGAAGAAAGATGCTGAAACACAGATGAGAAAGAGTTAGAGCCTATCTGTGGAAGAGTTAGAGTACTTTTTGGCTTGTGTGGGGATGGGTGGGACAAGTCTTAGGATAGTGGTTCTCAAAGTGTATTCCTGAGTCAGCAGCAGCAGTATCACCTGAGAACGTGTTAGAAATGCAGCTGCTCAGACTCCAGCCCAAGCTTATTTAATTAGAAACTCTAGACATAGGACAGAGAAATCTATATTTTGACAAGGCCTCCTACTGACTCTGATGCAGTTAAAGTTTGAAAACCAATACTAGGAAGGTACTTGAGTGTCAGATGAAGCTATTTTATTATTAAAAATTCAGTTTCAGGCTACATAACATATAAATGGAGAGAAATAAAAAAGGATTATGACATAAAAAGAGAGATTTCTCCTCATCTCATACCCCAAAATAAATTACAGATAAATTAAAAAGTTAAAGTAAAAAAATGCAATCAGATCTTGGGTAGAAGAAAAGATTATTTCAGCATAAGGCCAATAATAGAACCCATAAAGGAAAACATTTATAGTCTTGTTTTAACATGAATTTAAAACATTTGTAACATTAAAATTAAAAAGGAAACAACAAACTAGAAAGAAATATATGCAACATATATCTCAAGTAAAATGATAAAAAGTTTAGTTTACAAAACATAAACAGCCTGTAGAAAAATAGGCAAAAGACATAAACTGAAAATTCACTAAAGAAATACAAATGGCCAATAAACACATGAGAACTATTCAAGTTCACACACACACACACACACACACACACACACACACACACACAAC